GCACCGCCTGCTGCTGCCGCCCACCCCCGCGCCGACCGCCGGGGCCCTCTGCATGCCCAGCCCGCCGCCCACCCTCCTGTGCACCGCTAGCCTGGGCCCGCCGGAGCCCTTCGTCTACTTCAAGCCTGCCCTTGGCCTGGCCGCGGGGGCAGGAGGCGGGCAGGAGGCCGGGAGCATCCCCGCTGCGGGGGCAGCCACGGTGCTGGACGAGGTGGAGGTGTTGGACCTGGAGGACGGGGACTGCAGCCAGGACGAGGACACATGGTACATGCGGCTCCTCTCTCCCTGTTATTGTCTCAGCCCGGCCCCCGCCGCCCCAGGGCAGTGTCCCCTCACCGAGAGCGCCAGGGGCTTTATCAGAGGGGGGGGTACTGAGCATGGAGAGCCCGGCTCTCACAGTGCAGCCTGGCTAAGTCCCACCGCCGTCTTCCCTCATTCTTTTACAGCTGGTGCTTGCAACTCCCTGATTAGCATTAACCCTAAAATCCATTTGATCTGGTTTTGTTGCATCTTAAATCTGTTTTTTTTTTAAATGTGTCATCTGGGCTTGTCTGATTAACTCTCTCAATGGAAAGGAGCTGTTTTGAGACCTCCGTTGTCGACTGCTTCTCAAGGCTAGAGTTCATCTCCTAATCGCCCCGCTCCATCACCTTTGCACGGCTGACTTCGAATCTATCCCTTGGGTAGAGCAGGCGGTCTTTGCAACTGAAACCTACTCAGTAATGATTAAAAAAAAATCAGGGTGTAGTCTTTTGCGTTGAATTTTATTGTTCCTACTAAACACATTTGTCTTCCTTGCTCTCACACTTGAGTGAGCTTTAAGATTTGGTGACCTCACTAGCCATTCATTCAAGACATTAAATTAACACTGTCACAAATGTGCAATTATGAAGTGGTAGATGTCAGGAAGGAAGATTTAAAGTGACAAATCTGGTTTAGGTTAAAACTTAGCTGGTTAAAGTGTAGTGACAAGCTATTACTGAAGAGAAACATGACTGGTAAATATATCATCTTTTAATTTTCATATTAAGCCTTTTATTGTTTCTTTTCAGTTAGCACTTCCTACAATGTAGTAAATTAACAGCCTTCTTTTAAAAATAAGGAATGCTTTCAAGTCTCCTTATACTGGCCATGCTCTTTCTCAGAACACTACCCTCTCTCAAGTTGAATTTCAATTTTCAGCGATATAGGAGAGCTTTAGAGTTGTGGGCATTCTTGTCATGCAGTTGTTGTTTGTTTATGTGCATGGTTTCTGCATGAATATGTGTTGTTAAACTGGAAGAAGCAAAAAATAAAATTGAACTAGGGGAATATTTATGGCTGTTTCTTTATGCTCATGAAAGGACAAAAGAGACTCAGTGTTGTTGTAGCTGTGTGTTGGTCCCAGTGTATTAAAGAGCCAGGGTGAGTGAAGTAACAGCCGAAGAAGAACCCTCATCAATGTAAGTTGGCCCAATAAAATATATTACCACCCACTCTGTCAGACCAAAGATACTCAGAATTGTTTAGTGTCTTGTAACTTGGATATCTCACTAGCTTGTGCAGTAATCCTCGGGAATGCTAATAAATACTACAGAAAATGACCTGGAATGGTCAGCACTATAAAATTAACCATATTTAAACATGGTTATAGTTCAACTGTATGAAAACGTTAGTTGGGGAAAACATGTTATAATTATGTCTAAGAGCCATATTTTAGCTTGGGTATCTATCCAGGTGATAATGTTTCCTTAACATGTTCTAAAATAGTTTTAAAATCCATGCAGCTAAGAGCATATCCTGATACAATTCAGTTGAGCCAGAACCTTGCTTAAACATGGTTATTTTGGTAAAGTAGGTAGGGTCTTAAGACACACCAAAATGTAACTATCTCTATAAAGATTTTTAGATAACAGAAGCTCTTTTGAAGTTCTTCTCGTGGGAATCACCAACAATTATGGATAAATAGGATATAAGTGATTGTCATATTTGACTTATAAGTACCAATTGATTCTGCAGAACATTGTATTGTAATGGACTGTTTTGGGAATATGACTGGGATGAATCAGTTTTATAATTTCACACTTCCTTTATTGTTCATGCCAGATAATGTAGTGGGGATGTTATTTTTCTGGTTTTATTTAGTTGATTTGGGGTATCCATTTTCCTCGGCCAGTCACATTTAAAATTGTTTTGTATATGCTTACATTTTAGGACTGTATTGGATCAATATTATTTCAGATATTGTAGTGCAAATGTCAGCTTTGGTTTGCTCTTTGGAAAGAATTTTGCTATTTTGGGGGCAAATTCTGCCTACATATGGTATCAGTTGGAACTGAATGTATGTACTTTATTGAGATGTGGAATTTAACCCTGGGTGTGCTTCTGAAAAACAATTACTTGTTTAAAATTAATAAAACTAAGGGTGCATTACATATTTCCTTCAGGGATAAATCTCTGGTTATTTTCATTGCAGGTCAGCGGTAGTTTGTCAGTTAGCTGTTGTGTGGTTATTGTTAATCTTTTTTAAGAGATCATCAAAAACATCCCCTTTTTAAAATAATGTGTCAAATCTAGAAAGCCAAAGGCCAATAAAATCCTCACTATTGATTTTTTTTAAAAAATATTGGATCCGAACTGCTTTTGTAATATTCTAAAAATTGCAGTTCAAAAAGAAAAAAAAACCCTTTGTTACAAACAAGTCAAAACTTTCCTTGGTTGTCATCTTTCTGTGTAAACATCAAATTATTTAAGAACTCATCAGTCACTTGTTTTAATTTCAAAATATTGCTGAAAGTTAACAGTGAATTTAAGATGTTATTTTCAGTCCATATGTGGTTCACTATAGTTTTTAATTATGAGTATTAATTGTGTATCCAACCACTATATTAAGCGAGGGGAATTTAGCCCTATTGTCAGAAATATTTAGTCCTGGAACTCTGCTTGGATTGCAAACAAGGGTACCAGTTATGATGATGACACTGGTCCATTAGGAGTTGAATTGCAAGTACCAATTTCTTTCCCCAACAGTAAGCTACTTGGCAGGCATTACATAATAATAGCTCACTACTGAGCTGAGCAGGTTTTTGCACCAATAACTGAACTGTAAAGGACTCTTGTCTCTAATTGGTAATCATCTGAGACTTGTCCTTTTGTGTTGACTTTAGCCTTTTTATGGCTGCTATTCACATTCTGTTTCATGGCCAGTGTGCCTTTTTGTCCTACTTTTGATATCCTACTTAAGAGTTTGTTTCTAATGCACAGTGGTGTTATACAAGCAGGCTATGATGTCCAGTGAGGAAGCTGAGAGTTGTCTTAAGCAGCTAATGATAGTTCATCCGGAAAGTTGTGTACTTCCCAGGTGAACCCATGTCTGCATGCTTGTCAAAATCTGAGAGGACTCCAACAGTCTGGGCACTGGCTTTGAGAATTTAGCTGTCAAAGCCATCAAGCCTCTTACCATGTGGTGGTTTAAGCACCAGTAGAAATGTAAACTTTGTCTTAGGGGCACAGGAGATTACTAGATATTCAAATACACTTGTCTCTGGTTAGCTTCCTATTATATTCCAAGCTTAGACAAAAATAGAACAGCTTCTCCTACACCTCTATTTCTGCAAGTTGATTCATCTGGATGGATCCAGAAACGTAAAAATCATCATAATCATCTGGCAAACTTTAAATTTCTAAGATCTGTATGTAATGTACAGTATGCTATACAAAATCTTTTGTATCTTGTGGGAGAGATACTACTCATGAAAACTGTAATACCCTGTCAATTCTGACATGGTTGGGGAAATCACTGAAGTTAAGAATGTAAAAGATGTTACTGTGAAGTTCTTAAATACAAAGTTAAGCACTGCAAATTTTAAATCTACAATAAGTATTAAATATCCACAGAAAATATAAAATCTGTCTCTTTGGGGTATATGTACTGTCTATGAAAACTGTAATATTATATTACTATTGACACAATTTGCCTAAATTTGGGGTAATTTTTTCTAATATGGTCTTGGGGACTTATTTGCTCTTAAAAATAAAGTATTATAGAAATGTTCATGTTAAAACAGGAATTCTTAATACCCTTTCAATCAAGTATACAAAAATTTAAAATTTATGTACTGAGTACATGCTAATATTTCTGCATATTTTAATTGAGGTTGTATGTCTCGCCTACTAAGACCCTCACACCCCAAGAGAAATTACTGAGTCCTCTGCAGTGGTGTAGACATATTCTGGATCATCCAACTCCAGAGATAGAAGCTGCCAAACGTTCCCTATGCTTTAGACTGGAACAAGGTAATCCTCTGATCTTTACATTTGTTATATTTCTCTGAATTTCATAACCAAACTGCTAAGCAAAGATGCTAACTGATTAAAGTTCTGTATGCTGGTTGTTTTCTGCAGTTTTCCATGTTTAGGAAATGGTTTAGATGCATAGTTTTGTAATATAAGTATACACAACTCTCTCTCTTACATGAGGGGAAGCTATATTTTTAGTTTTTGCCTAGTGTACATTTTAAAGCAATCTTCTTTGCCTTTTCCCCTCTTTCCTCCACTCTCCAAACCCTAGTTTTTAACTATTTTATTACTTTTCAGATGCCCCCATTTCCTCTAAGCAAGGACCCATAGATTTGAATTGGAGAAGTCTTGGGCCCCAATTTAGAATATCAGACCTGCAAAGAGACGTGTACGAATGCACTGCTGTGACTGTACAGAGCCTTATATGTTGCAGTGGGACTGTACACAGGGTATAGGGTCTAACTGAACACACTGTAGAATCAGGACTTCATTATCTATAGGAAATACAACAAAAAATCTAACTTGATGGATAATACTGTGGAGGACTTTCTATTGCTCAGATATTGGGGGGCCAAGTTCATGGTGGGCATAAGGGTGCTCAGTGCCAATTGCCTTTGAATGGAGTCATGTCTACCAGTGGTGAATCTGGTTCCCTGGATATATATTGCAATTCTAAATAGAAATAATCTACATTATTATTAATTATTTTATTCATTTTTGTATCCACCCCAGACCCTAGTTAGGATTACAGTGTGGTTCCTGCCCCAAAGAGTTGATAATCCAATTTCAAGCAAGACTTGACACTGGAATGCAGCAAACAATTGGGGGACAATGGGGGAGAGGGGGAGAGAAGGAAGGCAGACATAGTTAATGTAAATATAACCATATAGTGTTATAAACCAGCTATGGCAGTGCATCATAAAGCACTTACATACATGCTTAAGATTAAGCATGTACTTATGTGCTTTGATGAACTGGAGCCTCTGGATCTGATCCTGTACCACTGATGTCCATGGGAGTTTTACTGGTCACTTCGTTGGGAACAGGATGGGGACCCATATTTAAATTTGGTGTTTTCCAATTGTTTGAATATATATGCATTTAAAATAAAATATTAGCCATTCCTGACTATCCTTCAGCCTATCTATACTTAGTTGCTGATTGAATGTGTGTGTGCATGCACGCTAAATCATTAACTAAATGTTGGGGAAATACTGGAAATAGGACAAGGTAGTGTTCTAATGGATCAGTTCAGGCTGTTTGTACCCTGTATAACAGTTTACTTAACAGTTATGTTGATGATGAGCTGGAAAGGAATCCAATTTAGATTTTGGTTTTGGAAGAAAGCATAATAGAGCACATTTTAGTTACTAGTTTTACTTAAAAAATTAAAAATACAGATGCAATGCAAACAGTCTTCTGCTGCCATTCTTAATTTTAAATAATAATGTGCAATAAAGGCTCTCAAAGGTAAGACTACAGACTCATAAAATGTCATTCACTAATTTAGTGTTAAAACCTGTCAGATGGGTGATCTATTTTTTTTCCTAAGGCATTATTTACATTTACTAGAACAGCAATTTGCTTTCATACTTTTCCTTTATATTTAAAACTTAAGTGAACTGCTGTCTGTCTTGTTTCAGTTTGAACATTTTTTCAGTATCTAAGACATCATAGCAAGTTTTAATGTATATTGTAATATTTTATTCAAAGGTATGACAGGGTAAAAATTACTTCATATTCTAATTATGGTTATTGCTCCATGAAGTTCCTTTTTTTTATTATTTTATTTTTTTAAGTGTGAGGATTCATGTTCTCTTCAAAGGCCTTGTGTAAATCTCAACTTGGGAGCTATGTGTTCATGGAGAAAATTGTCTCAAATGTTTTTATTGCAACAGTTTTATAATAAAATTGTTTAGTTGTTACTAATTAACTGCCTTTGCTCGGATATGAATTTTTTTAATTGGGCCATTCTCCTATAATTACTAGTTAATCAACAAATGCCAGGTATTAAATATTAAAAATTGTTACAAGGTAGGATTAGCTTTTATGGAAATCTTTCCCCACTGTTTTGGAGCAGGAGGCAACAATTGAAACAATTTAGTAAATCTGTTTTATAAAGTAAAACTAGCATACTGTCAGTTGTCTGTCTCATTATATTTTGTATCCCTGTTTGCTGATGGTCTCTTTTATTTCTATAATGTTTAAGGAAGAATCAAATTTTAGTACTGTAAAATGGCATTATGGATTTCCATAATAGTTGTTCTAAATGATAACATAATACAGTTCGTTCAGTTTAAAAGTAACAACTTTTCCCCTCAGCTACCAGCCCTTCAAACTCACCATGGTATCAGAAAATGTAGTTGTGCTCTTTCTAGTTTGTGCTTCATTGCCAGTAAACCTGATTTAACTGAGGAGTATTAGTGTGTACTTAATGTGCAGTGACAATGTGCAAATCTGTACTCTGAAATAGTTTGCTATTGGAGTTTACTTACCATGAGCCAGAAAGGAATCCATGTAGCCAACCATAGCTATGTTAGCACTATAGTGATAACAGAATGAAAGGCAGCAAACTTTTATTTTTGTCAGTAAAATCAGCAGGTATGACTGGATGCTCATGGGGAGATCTGTGAACTTTTTACATAACTGTTTTCTGATTGTTAAATTTTAGACTCTCTAGAAGCATGGGCTGTAATAACAGGGATAAAGGAGAAACAAGGCAAAACTGGGTGGCAAAAATTAAATCACTGTCTTAGTTGGTGCCCTCTAGGCAAGCCTACTGGATTGGGTTTTAAACTTGATTAGGTGGAAGAAAATCTGTATTTCCCTGGCTTGTGAATCACTCTGGGGCTTTAGCAGGAGGTAGGTGATTGGATACCTACAGTAAAACATCAGTTTGCATGCCTAGAGTAAGAAAGTTAGGCATCTAGGGAACTTTTACTGCTAAGACTTAGGCTCGTACACTATGTCTAGACTACATCTGTCTTTCGAAAGAGGGATGTAAATGAAGCACTTGGAAAGTGCAAATGAAGCGGGGATTTAAATATCCTGTGCTTCATTTGCATAATCCCGTCCCAGTGGTCTTTCGAAAAAGGGGTTTTTTTTGTTGTTGGTTGGTTTTTTTTTTTTTTTTTTTTTTTCAAAAGAACCGCGTCTAGACTGTGGTTTCATTTTCGAAATATCCTTTTTCAAAAGATCCCGTACTCCTCATTTTTTTAGGCATGCAGGATCTTTTGAAAAAGGGTTTTTTTTTTCCTGGAAAGAACTACGTCTGGACTGTGGTTTCACTTTCGAAGTACCCTTTTTCGAAAGACCACTGGGACGGGATTATGCAAATGAAGCGTGGGATATTAAAATCCCCGCTTCATTTGCACTTTTGAAGTGCTTCATTTACATCCCTCTTTCGAAAGAGGGATGTAATCTGGACGAGCCCTGAGTGAGTTTAGTCATCTCCAGGGGTCAGTGGGATTTTGTGCGTCACAGTGGTCCCTAAACTGAGACTTAGGTGCCAAAAACAGGGGCTTAGACACCTAATTCCTTTTGTGCTTTCAGGCCTTGCTACCTTTTTGTGCTTCATAAATTTCTCCATATTTCAAGTTAAATTGTTACACGTGCTGATTTGTCAGTCAGAAAACTGTACCAGATGGGTGGAGTGGATTGAACAGTACTCTTCCAGCTGAGATTTGCCATTTGGCCAAAATATAATTACAAAACAAATGCTCCAGTTCTACAGGGTGTAAGGCTGAGGGAGATGTATGGTTCTCAAGACACAAATGCCAGTAGTGCAGTCATGGCAAAGGACACATTCTGGAGTATTTGCTGCAATTTTATATCTTCCTTGATTGTATAATTTGATGGCTAAATAAATCAATCTTTAGGAGCCCAAACCTAAGAACTGGCAGTAGCTCAAAGAGCATTTTCAAGCTGTGCACATGAAACTGCTGCACCTCACTAAGATGCTTAGCAGTGGAAGACTTCCAACTCAAGACTGTTTGAGTTTGGGGCCAGATTTCTAGTAGAAGTTTTCATGTGGGGCTGAATTATAAGATTCCTTTTAGTGTCTCATTTGCTTGCCTTACTTTTTTCTTTTTTGTGTGTGTTTGTTTCTCATTTGGGAGAATCCTGCAGAATCTTTTCTAACCTAGACAGTGGCCCACAACACATAAAGTGGAATGTGCAGAAAGGGCAACAATGTGAAAAAAAAATAGGATTGAACAATTCCAGTGAATTGCATGGTACTGGCAAAGCTCTGTATGAATTCTCTTTTTGATGCAGTGGGTTGAAAGGATAGATGGGCAAGGAAGAGGCATTCTGAGAAACCAGGAAAAAGCAGAGTTAGTGTCATATTTTCACAAGAAAATATTCTTCTTTGATCCTTTGGTTGTTTGGTGATTTCCTGATTTCCTTTTTGTCTGGTCTGCAGCAATCTATTTTTAAATTGGTACTTTCATTTTTAACACGGCTCTCCATCCTTTTGATTCTGTCACGTCATCAGGGAAAAATTTTAGCTTTAATAGTGTGGAAGAATCTTTTATGTTTTGTTAGAAATGATGAGAGGTTTGGGAAGCTACTATTTATTATTGAATTCTGAGGAGAGAGATGTGACCGGCAAGTTTCCCATTGCCTATGCTGATTTACAGCAGGTGAGGATTTGGCATATTGTTGTACTATAGTAGCATGCCATCAAAGAGCCAAGTGGATACATTGAAGAACTGAGAGGCATAGCAAGGACATTCTACAGCAGTGGTTTTCAACTCATTTCAGTCCACGGACCACCAGGCCAATCAAAAAATTTTCATGGACCACCTCCAGCACATGTAGCACAGGACGAACAACACAGCAATCGCTCAGCACAATGGTGGCAGCTACACTGATGCTCAGAGCCTCAGACAGAAGTTACTGGCAACACAACGTGGTTGCATCATAGGTGACGCAATGGATGACGTGCCGTGTGCTTGTGAACACGACATAAAACAGTCTAACGGCAGCGCCTGCTC